CTATTTGCTCGTGGTGTCTTTCTGCATGGGATTCTCTATCTATGTATATATTTCTTTTAATCTTTAAGTGTTACAAATTCTTTATATATTTTATAAATTGAATTAGATTATTTGATATAAAAAGAATGATTTTTATGGATTTAAACAAATATTATTTCCCTACTGATTATGTTATAAACCGTTCCTACATTCTGTATAGACCCCCCTCCCCCTCCCTTTTACGAATTACTAGATCTGCTCTAAAATTAGCATGGAAATAGTAATAACATACGAAATCCCTCAGGAATAGTTAAATACTAGTCGCTTGGAGGAAAAATAATAAATACTTTCTCATATTTTAAATGCTCAAAACGATTGAGGTTATTTAAATAACACGTGATTTTAAGATTTTTTGAAAATTGAATAAAACGCAGGCGACGTCATTTCGTTTTCAGTGAGTAACGTCAAAGTTAATTTTGAAGCGCCTCACTAAAATGCTCATAAAATATCGAAAAAGTGAGATATTTTCAAAATTTATGTATATTTGCATTCAGAAAGAGTCCGGCTATCAAAATTTACCAAAAAGTCAATTTGTGAAAATTTGACCTTAAGGGCCCTTTTCTCGTGACGGCAGTCAATTGTATAAACTTATTAAATACATTTTATGTTTATCTTTTGCAGTACAATGCAACCATGATTATTCTTATCAAAATAAATAGCTCCATCTTTGCCAAGCAAGAAAAGTCTGTCTCAATCAGAACACCTGTGAAAAATAGAAAACTATAAAAGCAGCAACAGTTAAATATTTATGACCAAAGTTAATTTTCTTTCGAAAGTAGATCAAACTTGTCAACGTCAAAGAGTTAAAATTAATGATGCCCAAAAAATTTCACCAAGAATACACAGGTTAAATATAAAAGTCATACGAATCAACCATTCAAAAGTTATGGCCAAAATTCATCAAAAGAAGGTCAAAGTTAGGGATTAGGGTATGGATATAACGAACAGCAATCAGTATCAAAGTCCATAAAACAATACAAAATTGGAGCAGAGCAAACACGGACCTCCGAAACATCAGAGGTGGGATCAAGTGCCTTGGAGGAGTGCACACCGGTCACACCCGCCGTGTGCTATTTGTTATGATCGAGAAATAACGGAAAAATCCGTCGACAATTCAGTATATATCAACTAAGAAATAGTATGAGAAACGTCAGTAAGCATTTGACTCAATGATAAACTGTATTTGCTGACGAGATCATTTTATCGACCATAGAACTTACGAATTGATGATTTAAAACAAGACTGCTGATATTCTTGTTTCATCAACTTGCTTGTCAATAATTTACCTCGTTTAAGAAATTATCCATACGTATAGCATGCTCTTGCGTATCTAATCAACTGATATATATATAAACCCGATGTGCAGGTGATGAAGGTATATTACTGCATAAGTAAGGGAAGTTGACGATGGAAAAGTTAAAGTCATCACGGTTTCATATAGCTTGGTTGTTAGATTACCATAAACGTCTTTTTCAAGTAAAATTTCCAAGTATGAAACAGCTGTGTCAGACTATGTGGTATCTTTTATCTCAAACTCACAAGGATATATCGTATCGACGTAGGAATGAAAATTACCATTGTTATGTGACAATACGTCGTCGATATTATATAATTATGGACTTCAGTGTAGGTCGATATTAGGTTAGAAGGACTCATGGCAATTGATATTGACCAAAGACACAGAAAGTGATAGCAACCGAGCCTGCGAGGTCCCTATCATTTTCTAAGTCTGAGGTCAATATCAATATTGCCATGAGTCCTTCTAACCACATATTGACCGTTCATTGGAGTCAATAATAATTATATTATATAATCACTCGAAGTGAATCCATTGACACAGTCCTAACTGAACAGATTCGGCTGTCATTACATCACAATGGTTTTTGAGCACGCTTCTTATATTATGACGTTACATTCTACGTAACTTTGGAGCAACCGAACGGTGTGTCGTGCAGTATCATTTTCCGCGGACGCGATTTCGCGTCGACATCACAAAAGGAGGAATATCATGTGACGTCCTTTCAGCCAATGAAAATTACGAAAATAATATTCTTATATAATATATCTAAATGTCGAGTAGTAAAAGGGTAAAAAAAGGTTGATATTACAGAAAAGATAATACCTCAAGAAATAAACCGGTGAAATAGTAAATCCCGCTAGTTTTAATAAAAACAATATTACAGAATTTTATTAAATTTAACAGTACGACATTTAAGAGTAATTCTCTGTAATCACCAAAATATTTTGGCACTCATAGTTACAGATTTAAATTTTTATATCATAACTTGATACAGGTGTGTGAGTGATTGTAAAATCTAAAAATAGTTTTTGAATTGTAACCTTGGTTGCCATAGAAACGGGATACAAACTTTCTCATTTTTGTAAATCATGAAAATCTGTACTTTTCATGAAAAATCATGTCTAGAAATGAATAGAGATATCTAAATTTGTGTTAATTGTTGTTATCCAATACTAGAGATTCAAACAACCATGTCTACAGTTTTAATTTTATGCTCATAAGTGGTCATGTTATGCATTGCAAAATGTCAAAAATATAGTAAATTTTGCTCAGTTTTTACAGACTTAAAACAAAAAAATACAGTCATCTACAAATTAAGCAAATTATAATAAAACATGAAATGTTGATATTAGGTTATATTTACACAATTAAAAAATTGGTGGGCAAATGATATGTGTAAAAGAAATTCAACGGTGAATATCCATTTTTTCTGCATTTTGAAGCATTGTTTGCTTCCAAATTACTTCCCTTGGATTACTCTCTATCGTTTGGATATACAATATGTGGGCACTTGTAGTGGTAAATAAGTGGTTTGGTGAGAAAACGTATAAAAGCGGGTCCGGGGTGAGGATTGGCAATGTGGAAGAAGGAAAAAGGCCAAGATATAATACCTAAGAAGACAAAGAGGTAATTATAAATATTAGAAATGGTAAGTATATATACTTTTTTCTCCATTTTATTGGCTTGCACGCATGTAACCCGAGATTCCTCTGCTATGATAATTGTGACACCTGAAGGGGCCACTGTCCTGACTCTCCCTGGTACATTTACAAACATAATTACATAACTAGTGCTAATTGTAACGGGGACCGTTACAGATGTTCCCCAAACGCTCCCCAACTCCCTTTTGGTGCCATATTCGCTGTAAGCTTTATTAAATGAGACAAACTCTATGCATTTGAGACTTTAGCAACGTTTACCCAGAAGTGTACCAAGTTCAATGAAATTTTAGCATTGCACGCGTGCACATGTGAATGTATGTGCGTAATGACCATAATCATCTTGTCTACACAAGCTATATATTTTAATGTACTAAATATAGTATTTAATCCAAAAGTATTAAAAATACGCTCATTCAAGTGTATATTTGATTTTACTCATTTCACGTGCACGCACGTGCATACATGAGCATGGTGACCATACTTTCTTGTAGAAGTCCATAACATCTATCTATGTTCTAAATCCCACCCGTTTGGTTGAAAACCAAGGGAGTTATAGCTGTTTAAAGTTTCAGCCAATCAGATTGCAGCACACGTACACGCATGTGTATGCATGTGCAGGCTGACCATACCTTCTTGTAGAAGTCCATTGTATCTATCTATGTTCCAAATCCCATCCTGTTTGGTGGAAAACCAAGGGAGTTATAGCTATTTAAAGTTTCAGCCAATCAGATTGCAGCGCACGTGCATGCACGTGTTTTCATGATAATTGCTATACATCATGTTGTAGGATATCCTAATGCATGGCTATTTTCAAAATTTCGAAGGATTTTGTCAAAAAACAAGAAAGATATTGAGACTTTAGTTTCAGCCAATCAGAGAGAAGTACACGTGCATGCGCGTGAGATCTTGCTATTTTGACCATGCCCTCTTGTCTATGCTTATAATGTATCCTTATATTATGAGTTTCAAAGCATTTCATAAAAAATTGAAAAGTTACGTCTGTATCAATTATATTGGACATTTCTCGTGCTGCACGTGCGCACTCTTGCAAGCACACGTGCATGCGCATGCTTTTATGAAAATTCTTATATATCAGGCATTAGATCTCCCTTATATGACTAAGTTCAAAATTTCAAAACATTCTGTCGAAAAACATGAAAGATATTGAGACTTTAGTTTCAGCCAATCAGAGCAAAGCGCACGTGCATGCGCGTGAGATCTTGTTATTTTTACCATGTCATCTTGTGAACACTACTAATATATCCTTTCATTGTGAGTTTCAAAACATTTCATCAAAAAATAGAAAAGTTACGGCTATATCAATTATATTGGTCATATTACGTGTTGCACGTGCGCGCTCTTGCAAGCACGTGCGCGCAAAATGACCTTCGTTCCGCAAATCTACATAACATGTCTACTGACCCTAAAAACATTTCACCTTAGTCGGATGTATAGTTTACGAGATCATTCGCGGACAAAAAAGTGCCCAGGAAGAAGAAAAATAATAATAATAAGAAACAGAGTAAAAACAATATGTTCCCCAACTTCGTTTGGGGAACATAAAAATACATGTTGATGGCAGACCATGAAGACATAAATCAGGTCAGACACAATTTCTTTATATAACCAGGTCCAGTACAATCAATTAATCTAGCTAGGTCCACAGGCACCTGAAGTATGGATAATACCCCCCCCTTTTTTTAATGAAAAAAAAATGTAAGAGTGTATACATGGTATAATACCTCGAAAATATAAAATTTCCCGGCAAACACATCTATATGTCGTTATGTGCAAGCAGATTGTACTTTTTCTCACGTTTAAAGAATGGCCCTATTCGGTATAATAAAAAATGGTCGAAGGTCCTAAATTCGACAGGGTCCGAATTTCGACGGTTTCGTTCTTTTGTTTATATCTCGTTCGTTCTCGCGAGATCGGGCTGGTGTGTGTAAACATAGTACCAATAGAGACTTACGATCGTTTTACCTGCATCATCTATGAAAATGCATTTCAAACAGGTAAGCAATTATTTCACATAGTTTAAGGCGAAAAAATGTCTGTCTTACGCAATATCACTTTTTTGATGCAAATATGAAATCTGGTTACTGGTATAAGCTTGCTGCACATAACTTGAAAAAATGTCGTCTGCATAGACTGACAATCCAGTACTGAAATTTACACCACTGCGTTTATGGAAAACAAGGCCAAACCAATTTTATTTTTAGTTTATTAGAACTATTTTTTTTATTTAAAAGAAAAAAAAAAGATTCGAATTTTGAATTAAAAACTCAATGGCTTAATGTATTGTTTTACCTTATTTGTAGGCTAATCCTATGAAAAAGTCATCTAAATACAGATTGTATTCACCAACTTCCCTTACTAATGCATATCTGTCGATAAAAACTGACAAAAAATCTGTTATGGGAGCAGCAAGGCAATACAATGTGCCCATTACAACCCTCAGAGATCGTGTGTTAGGCAATGTTGATCCTGAAACAGTTAAGAGTGGGAGGAGTCCTTTGTTAGATACACTCCAGGAATCTAATATTGTTGAACATTTAAAGGTCATGGCAGAATATGGCTATGGATATACTCGCCAAGAGGTTGTAGACCTGGCTTCAGATTACGCAGTCCAAAATGGTATTAGAGATAAGCAGCACCCATTCTCTCTTAAGTGGTTTCGGGGATTCGTGAGCAGGTGGCCTGAACTTAAAGTCCTTAAGCCTCGGAGTCTAGAAATTGTCAGGGCAAAGTGTGCATCAGTTCCTGTTGTTGACAGATATTTCAAAGAACTGGAACAGGTCATCAGAGAGAATAGTTTTGACAAGAACCCCTACCTAATTTACAATGTGGATGAAAAAGGATTTACCCAGAACCACACTCCTCCTTTTGTTGTTTGTGGTAACCAGTTTCCACCTCAAGCTGTCACTGCAGGTAAATCAAGTACCACCACAGTGATTGGTTGTGGAAGTGCGAGTGGTACAGCAATTCCTCCTTTTTTCATATTTGCGGGGAAGAGAATGATGCCAGAGTTAATGGAAGGTGCAACACCAGGCGCAGTAGGCAGAGTCTCAGAGACAGGATGGTCCAATTCACAGCTATTCCGTGAGTTCCTAGAAGATCATTTTTTGAAGCATGTCCCTATCAAGGATGGTCAGAAAGTTCTTCTGTTGATGGACGGGCACAAATCACACACTTCTGTAGGACTTGTCCAGTGGGCAAGAGACAGGAACATCATATTGTTTATACTTCCTGCACACACAAGTCACATTCTACAACCACTGGATGTTGGCTGTTATGGACCTATGCAGAAAATGTACAATTCAGAATGTCATAAGTTTACTAGAGAATCACACACCGTAGTAACAAGATATAACATTTGTCATATAGTTTGCAAGGTGTACAGCAAGGCCATGTCTGCAGAAAACTTGATAGCTGCATTTAGAAAAACTGGCATCTACCCATGTTCGCGAGCTGTAATTCCACCAGACAGTCTTAAACCTGCAGAAATATTTATCATGGAAAACGAGATATCTGACAGTTCAAAAGATGAGACAGCCGTAGAAAAAAGTAGAGAAAAGAATGATGACACAACATTCTTTGAAGCTAAAGTAACAGCTTGTAGGAATGCAAAGAGAGAGGGAGTCGCTGAAAAGAAAGAGAGAAAAACCATGAGCAAGATCATCTCTGGCCACTGTTTAACAGACAACATCATAGATCAGATGGTGCAACATGAAGATGAACAAAATGGTAAGGGAAAAGGCAAGAGAAAGACATCAGATGAAGATCAAGGGGCAGCTGCAAGTGGATCAGGTTCCAGAAAGCAGAGGAAAACTAGGTTGCCAGTTGTGGAAGATAGTGATACTGAGGAGGAGGAGGTGGTGCTGGAAAAGGACCTTTGTTGTGTGTGTAAAAAGTTTACACCAGAAGAGATCCGAAAAAGTGATATGTTAATATTCACCAAATGGGCTCAATGTGATGGCATGAGGAATGGGATGCCATGTAAGCACTGGACACACCTGCGGTACTGTTGCAGTACCCGGGTTGTCCGCTTACATGACAAATTCCTCTGCCCTCACTGCATTGAGGAGTAAAAATGATTATGAAATCAAACATTGTATTTACAATTGTTGCTATTAATTTACCTTATTTAACAAAAAATAAATCTAATTTCATTTCCACTAAAAATTTGTTTTGCTTGGCCTTCCTGATTGCTCGCATATCGAACGATGACGTAACCGTCGAAATTAGGACCCGGTAATGGCGGCGCCCATTGTTTATATGTCACTTTTGAATTCTTCACCAATAGAAGTAGATAAAACAAATTGGTTAAATCTTTACACAGGAAGGAATATAATTTGAATGATGTATTTACCGCTCAATTTATTTTAGTGGATTATTGTTTACATAACATAAAATATTGCAACACATTAAATGACTGTCGAAATATGGGCACACGAGGGTACTTTTACTGTACCGAAATAGGGCCATTCTTTAAACGTGAGAAAAAGTACAATCTGCTTGAATATAACGACATATAGATGTGTTTGACGGGGAAATTTTATATTTTCGAGGTATTATACACTCTTACATTTTTTTTTTTCGTTAAAAAAGGGGGGTTATTATCCATACTTTAGGTGCCTGTGGCTAGGTCGAGAGCTAGGCCTACATTTCAAAGCAACATTTTTTTCTTATTATTAAAAAAAAATTCGCAAGTAAATGACTACACATGTATTAATATAAATATATATACTTGGGAGGTTTTTAAAAAACAATTCGAAGCAGAGATAATTTGAATTTTTTTTTTGGAGGGGGGGGGGCGTCTCCATCAGCAGGTTTGAACAAATTGTCCAAATGGGATAAATTATAATAGCTGGTGTGAAATATATCCTAAATGAAATGCAAATTTTCAGTGCCAAAAAGGGGGGGGGTTATATTTTTAATTATTTTTTCTTGCAAATCTACAATGCATGAATTCTCTAAACAGGAAAAATACAGAAAAATTGCCTGCGATTGTCCAACAGTCAGTGCTTTCCATTTAAATTTGTGGGACTGAAAAAAAATTAAAGCCACATATTTTGCACTGTTAAGTTCTATCCCATGCATTCATAGCATTATTGATCACTTTGCATAAGATGATATTCTTATTACCAAACAATAGATTCCGAAATACAAAAAAAATGTATATCATTCTTTGTTTTAGATAGTATTAATTCAGAAGATGTATATGTATTCTTCTAAGTCGCTTGCGCGATGCAGTGGTTAGAGCGTCTGCTCTATGATTGCAAAGTAAGGAGTTTATCCTTACATTGCAGGTTCGAATCCCACTGTGGGACATGGAGACCAGTCCTTCGGATGAGACTGTTTAAACTGAGGTCCCGTGTGGCAGTAGGCACTGGAACAAAAAAATCCCTCACTTCTCAAAGGCTGTGAGTGATGAGTGGCAAGTGGTGGTGTCTTTATATTTGTATTAAAAAATTCTCAAGACTGAGGGACTTTATACAATCAATCTATTCTTCTTAACATTACGTTAAAGTTTCCCTTTTCAGAAAAGAAAAAAAACCCAGGTGTATAAAAATATTTGAAGATGAAAAATTATGGTACATGTATTACCATGATTAAATCTTTGTGTATAACAGTAAATCCGTTTATATTACAGCCATTTATATATTACACATACTCTTATATATAAAACTAAATGTATAAATAGTTCTGTCAATATATAGTGCTTGACCTGTACATATATTTGTAAGGATGATATGACTTTCGATTTGATCATGTTGACAGAGAGATAATTAATGCATAGATTGATTTTTATTATAAAATTAGTAGTAATTTTATGTTGAATTAAGTGATTTTTAACAAAATTAGATTATATTCAGTTTTTGTTTTCAAAGGATTTACCAAATGGATGAAAAGGAATAGGAACAATTACATATACACATGTAAATCATTGCTATAACAGAATTTGAATGAAACCTTGGAGCTAATTTTGGAAAATACAATTTCAGGAATTGGGATAGCTTATAGATGCATTTCTCTTCAAGGTTACCAGTTTCAAAAATCAAATCTAAATTGTTAGAATAACACAGTATTACATGTAGTATATGGTCTGCTTATTTCTCTTTTATTGATCAAAATGATTTTTTAAAATCATTATTATAATATATGCATGTATCAAAGAAGACATGTTTAACTTGAACAACTGTCATAATGATCATTAGAAAAACACCTTTCTTGATTTAGGGTTTGCTTTTACATTTATGTGTATATTTAATTCAATTTGATATTTGTCTTCATTTGAAGATATTGAAAATTGTATTTACTTCTGCAGGTGGAAAAAAGTCATCTTAAATATATGAATGGGGATGTAAAGCGCAAAGCTGAATATCACAAAATCTCCAAACAACGGTGAAGTCTTAAATGTTGGAGATATGGCATTAAATTATTTCCTTAGAAAGTACCAAGGTGTCCATTACTAATGATTTAGTTTCCCAAACGAGGAGCAATGTAGCTGGCTTGTCAGAGTGATTTTCCAGAAGATGAAATTGGAAATAAGAATATTCATGTGTGTCTCCATAATGGAAATTCTCAAGATTCAACCAAATTTCTAATCGACTCAGTGAGGTCATTAATTAAGGAAGCTCTTGACAGCACACTAAAGAGCTGTACTTGTAGGATTAGTTTTATGCAGTAAGAGTGATCTGCCCTTAGAAGTCAGATAGAAAAAAAATTGTTGCTTACCATTTATTTCACAATTTGTAATAGATTAAAATATTTTTACTAGCATTATCTTGGACAAAGAATAAGTAATCGAATTAATATTCACATTCATTTTCTTAATAGTCAACAACTGTGTATTCTGTTCATGAATGATTCATAACATTCTAGTAGAAATAATGCAGGTACTTGTTGAAAATGAACTAACAGTCTCAATGTGCATACCTTTATATGATAATTTTTTCCGTAATTGAAAGTCTGCAGATCACTTCTTGATACACATGTATTGTTTAGAGCTTCTTTTAATTTCATATGATATGGTTTGCTAATTAAAATACATTGTAGTTGATAATATTGATGAAAGTTAAAAAAAAATTTCACAAGCCAACAGTACTTGTCTTAATTGTAATACTTTGTAGCCTTTTGTGCTATCATATGTAGCAAGTAACTATGTAATTTTTCTTTTGTGTTTTGGATTGCAGTATTTTGTTTCATGTTCATGTATTATAAAAACATATACTTTAGAAATTATGATGTAGCATTATTAACTGCAGTAATCAGTAATAGAGGACTGTTATTTTGTATTGTGCTAGAAATTGGGGGGGGGAGGTTTCTATATTTATGATCATATTCTCACCTATAGATATGAATAAATAATTCTTTTATGGTTCAGCTGACAATGTCTCATTGATTTTACAAATTTTAAGCTTAAATTAGTTGACTTTTTAATTTAAAAGAAAAAATATATCTTGTGATATGAAATGGTCATCAAAGCTGTTTTTTGGCAAAATGCCAATTTTATGATTTTTCATTTTGTTATAGTTCAACATTTGTTGTTATTTGCCAATGAATGTTTTTGAATATTTTCATTATTTTTGACAAGTACCTTCAGATGAAATAAGTGATACATTGTGAAAGTTCTGCTAATTTTTTATTTTACTTCCCAAATTGTTGTTATTTTTCAGATTTGACTAAATTTCGAAAAGTTGATATTTTGCCATTGTTTGACAAAGTATTACAAAATTTTCAAATAATTATTAAGCATATTAAAGATTGCCATTGAAAGTGTTGATGTTGTAGTTTTATAAGAAATTAGCAACAGAGTTCTAATCCTAAATATGGGATCAGCACAGATGGTGTAAAAAGTGTGATTTTAGCAAGATTACCATGAACAAAGAACAAAGTACGGTATTAGCCAAAAAATGCCGCTTGTCAGACCTGCTCGGTTCAAAACATTTTAAAAAGCTTAGGATTTGTAGAATTTAGTTCGCATCTTCCTTACTTCAAAGCATAACATCAAAAAATTGTACAAAGAATATTAAAATATCGTATTATTTTCGGCGAATTACTGCTAATACCGTTCTTTAATTGTTCTTTGCCCTATATATGTATCAGAAATTTTTTATCCTGGTTACCATGGTAACAGGGGATGTCCAGAAAAAAATTATGCCATGCATATAAGTTTTACCCTAGGAAGATACTATATGCCAAGTTTGAAGAAAATATGAGACTATGCGTGCCATACCCTTTTCAGAATTACTTTGGTGATTACAGAGGATTACTCTTAACTCTGGACACGACATAGTCCAGACTTTTTACTACTATTTCTAACTTTGATATCAAAAATAATTTTTTTATCGGAACGGAATTTTCAAAATGTTTTTTTAGTCTTGTTTAATTGGCAATTCAGATATTCGGACGCTTCACACATCCAGACAAATTGACGGGGAACCAAAGCGTCCGGATAAATGAGGCTCCACTGTACTTTTAACATGGGTATGTAAATTTTTTATTAAACATCGACACATCGTACATTAGAATATCATTCGAGAGAGAAAGTGTGAAGGAGGAAGAATCGTTGAAATTCTTAAATTGTTTTTGACGCCAATAAACAACAAATCCTGCTAAA